GTAGCCGGAGGGGATTTCCCGGGGCTTCTCCGTGCACGAGGATCTGCCGGCCCCGGACGGACGGGGCTGGGGCCAGCCGGCCGGCTTCCGGGAAGGCTGCCGCGAAGCCCGGCTTCCTGTCGCTGGCCGTGCTGACTTCACTGTCCTGCCGCAGCCTCTCCACCCACTAAATTCCCATCCTGGACTCGACCCAGAGTTCAGCCAGTGGAAGTGCCACCAAATCTGCCGCCCATTTACATACCACGTTGGCCCCAGTGACAAATGGGGAAGTGCATTACAGACGGAAGGTCAAAAGCCTGGTTAGGGGTATAGCTGGAGAGGGAACACCAAGGCTACCCTCAGCTTGCTGTGTAGGAGTACAAACGCTTGTTGATCAGTAATTAGCAATATAGTGTGATGATCTGGAAAATGAAGTTAGTCATATGATCATAAAAGATGCGGGAATCCAAGTTCTCCTAGTCAGTCACCAAGTGATAACACCATGAAACTGGAGTCCAATTTTGATTGAGGATTTCTCTGATCTGGCTCAGTACTCCAAATTTAACTATTGAAAATTTAACATCACTCTTTTTCTTTAAGGTCATTTAAGTGGTAGAAAGATGGGGCTCGCTCCTCATACAATTAGAAAGTGGATTAGGCCTGTCTGAATAGATTAATTAGCTAGATACTGAGCAGTTTCAAGCTGTAAAATCTTCCACTGCTGCCCTATCCCCTATGTATCCTTGTAAGCCCAATATTAATTTTTAGGCAAAAGTGTCTGATTGTAAAAGTTTAGTATGAAATAGGAATGTAGATACTTTGTTTAAATGACAAGCCCAGTTACAATGCAAATTCATGGCTTTGGTTAATACTTGGTAGATACAAAATGGTTGTTTATCAGGAATTAGCAATATAAAGATCTAGAAAATGCAGTTATACAATGCTAAAGGATGAAGGAAACCAAGTTCTGGACAGCTACCAAAAGATAATGGTTTAAGCTTTAAAAGCATTCCAAATGTTCTCATGAAGAAAAATAAATGGTAGCATGATTTCAAATTAATTGCTAGAAATCTATTTAAGATTAATGAATCTAATACCATGTAAGCATATATTATCAAATTTATTCAAACATTCTAAAACTAAGTGAGAAACCTACAGTAATGTAAATCTACCAAAAGTGTAAGATAAGGAAAATATGGCCGAAACCGGTTTGGCTCAGTGGATAGAGCGTTGGCCTGTGGACTGAAGGGTCCCAGGTTCGATTCTGGTCAAGGGCATGTACCTTGGTTGCGGGCACATCCCCAGTAGGAGGTGTGCAGGAGGCAGCTGATCGATGTTTCTAACTCTCTATCACTTTCCCCTCCTCTCTGTAAAAAATCAATAAAATATATTAAAAAAAAAAAAAAGATAAGGAAAATATGTACACTAAAGAGATACAAAAAATGAGAATGCAATTTTAGCTTTAATAGTGCAGTTAGAAAATGTGACTACAAGATTACAAACTTATAAAATGCAAATTCTTTCAGGGGCCATGGCAACAATTAAATTTCTGAACATAATAATTATGTTCTTAAAATGTCATTGATATTTATAAAACTAAAACTGCCTTCAAAGGAAGCTATTGTTGCCCTCGCTAGCCAGTTTGGCTCAGTGGATAGAGCAGGGACTGAAGGGTCCTGGGTTTGATTCCGGTCAAGGGCATGTACCTTGGTTGTAGGCTCAATACCCAGCCCCAGTTGGGGTGCAGGCAACCAATCGATGAGTCTCTCACATTGATGTTTTGGAAAAAAAACTATTATTTTGTGTATCTTATCTGTGTATTTTATCTTTACCCTTTTACAAGGGATACCAGTTTTACATCCAATTCCTACTTAGGTTAATACTCCTGATAAAGAGTACTCTGAGTTAAAATCAATGTGAAACTTCCCTTCTCAAATACTGCAGTCAAACCTTAATGCACTAAATTATTTAAAAATACATTCATTTTGTTTTCAGTGCATTAGAGCTTAGTTCTTGTGATAGCATCAATTTATAAGTAAAGAAGGATGTGTACTTTACCCTACTCTGTAACACAATACAAGAAATGTAGGTAAACACTTGGTATTTCCAAATCAAAACAAAATCATGTGTAAGAGACTTTGAAATTTAGAAAAATAGAGAAAATACAGTGTTTCATAAGAACAGGCCTATATAGCCCAAACGGCGTGGTTCAGTGGTTGAGCATTCACCTATGAACCAGGAGGTCATGGGTTTGATTCCCAGTCAGAGGCACATGCCTGGGTCCCCAGTGTGGGATGTGCAGGAGGCAGCCGATCAATGATTCTCTCCCATCATTGATGTTTCTAGCTCTCTCTCCCTCTCCCTTCCTCTCTGAAATCAATAAAATTATATTTTTAAGAAAGAACAGGCCTGTATATAAATAATAACATCTGATGCAGAAATTTTATCAAAGATGAACATATAAATGTTGATAAAATAAGCCAAATTACTTAAAAATTGTATTTAATATATTAAATGTTGACTTATAAATAATAAGAAAAATCATAATGGATATAAATGGGTTATTCTAAGTGTAACTCATGTACCAGATATAAAACTTTTTCTTATGTTATATATCAGAAATGTAGTATTTAATATATTTCTTTTGTTGTTGTTAATCCTCACCTGAGGATATTTTTTCCATTGTTTTAGAAGGAGTGGAAAGAAGGGGGGCAGAGAGAAAGAAATAAACATGGATGTGGGAGACACACATGCATTGATTGCCTCCTGCACCCTTGCATCCTCGGGGCCAGGGGTAGAATCTGTAAATCAGGTACATGCCCTTAACCAGGAATCAAACCTGAAACCCTTAGGTGCACAAGCCAAAACTCTATCCACTGTACTACACTGGCCAGGGCTTTAATGTATTTCTATCAAATAGTAGTAAAAAGAAAGAATAACAAATATTACAAAACAGTTCAGATATCTGTTTTGTTTTTTTATTCAGTAAATATTTATTGAATATTTACTGTGAGCCAGGGATTGTTTTGTATGCAGAAATAGAGCAGTAAGTTATATTTATCCTTTGTGTGATATACATACACATACATATATATGACAATTGACTAAGTATGCTAATTCTCATGCCTCAGAATGGATTTAAAACTTTATCGTTAAATTGCCATAATTCTTGAAGTTCAAGGAAGTTTTTTAAAATACAAGGTAATAGCCCTAGTCGGTTTGGCTCAGTGGATAGAGTGTTGGCCTGCAGACTGAAAGGTCCCAGGTTCGATTCTGGTTAAGAGCACTTGCCTGGGTTGTGGGCTCGATCCCCAGTAGAGGTATGAAGGAGGCAGCCAATAATTTTCTCTCATCATTGATGTTTCTCTCTCTCTTCCTTCCTCTCTGAAATCAATTTTAAAAAAATTTAAAAATACAAATATTAAAACCATAGTCCATAGGATTTATAGAATAACTTCATAGAAAAGGACAATTTTAATCTTAAAATAATGTTACCCTTTAAATCTGATTCTACATTCTCAAAATATATTTTGGAAAAAAGTGTATATAGTACCTGTAGAATAAAACAAAAACTTGTTGTCTCCAGTATTATTCTTCACATAGCAGCAGCTAACTCAGTACTGGCTCATTTATTTCTCTATTTATCTGAGGTAAACCACATAAAAACTCAAAGTATTTTATGATGTAACCTCTAACACTACTATAATGAGAAACTGTTTTTTTTTCCTCTCTGGTATATATCTTCTTATAATTTTCTTTATTCCTGAACCTGGGAACCAAATTTTTTACTTGCTTTTCCTTAATTATTTATATAGATACTATGAAAGAAATATTTAACCTAAATTTGGCTCATAGGTTAGTATTGCTTATATTCATTTTTTTAATTAAAGCTTTATTCGCATTCTGTTTGTGCATATTATACTTAGTGTATATAATGGTAAATACACCATTGAGGTATATTTCTATAATGAGGTATAGAAATTGAGGTATATTTCTATGTTAAGACTATGTTCGTTCCCCTTAACTCAGGTTCTTGACTTCCACAAAGTGTTTAAAATTCCATATTGGCTCTTATATTAAGGTTTTTTTAAAAAATAAATGAAAAGCAATTATTAGAGTTCACCTACTAAACCTCATCAGAAACTATAATCTTGTTTCTAAATAAATTGGATGAAAAACACAAAAACGCAATTTCTTATTATCTGTACAAACTTTCAGATATGTCCTCTTTTACATAAAGAAATCTCAATAAAATTTTGTTTTGCTTATTGGGTACCCAAGGTCTCTTATCTTTTATGTGAAAAGTTTATTATCAGCCATATATTTATGCTAGTATGATTAAAATATTGAGGTATTTCTTTAACTACTTTCGGTATTTGTCTCACCATAAGTGAATACTGTGTCCTTATAGATACAAAGCCACACATGACACCTATATTATGGAGTACTATTAAAAATTTCATTAAAAGATACTCATTTCCA